CAGTCCCCTTGTTCCTTCTAACGATCATCTCCAAAACTGCGGGCGCACCAGATTACTTTGTTTCAAGACCGGACAGTAAGTTCTAACCAAAATTGGGCAAATCTGTCAACCCCCACCCTGATATTTAAGCAAGCCTAGTAGTCTTTCTGGTGGATTCTAGATGATTGCTCAGGAAATTCTGCCAGGGCAGTCAGTTTACTGTTCTGTAATGGTGGATTCCATACGAGCGGCGCACGGTGAGTCTCGTAGCTCAGTGGTAAAGCGTTGGCTGCACAAAGCCTTCCCTGCTGTGTGGCTTCGACTCCCATCGAGGCCGTGAATTTTTCACAATTGGGTCAACCGAATTAAGCAAATCTGCCAACCCTCCCTAATAAGGAGTCATACACGGGAGTGAGAACTGTCCCGTAATCCAGACGGTCCAGTGAGCGTTGAGTTAAGGCCAGGTTTAAGATTACTGTCAGACAGATAGTAATACCCTTAACGAAAAGACAGACTGGAATGGCCATTTCTGGCCTATTAGCCGTCGTCAGCCAGCCATACTCAGACCCAAGTGGCGTCCCCCCGTGTCTCGCACTTGTGACTGCTTTAGTCACAGTCGAACGCCCTAACCATTGGGCCAGGAAATCGTTGTCTTGCCGGCTTAGGTCGAGGGATATTGACACTCATTGATGAAAGTTCATCTGAGCACTAACGGAACTCATCAGTCCCGCTCTGCCTGGAGTTTCAACAGAGGCGCTGACAACCGTAGCAGTTGGTAGTGTAGGCAGATAGTGTTAGCGGCGAAGATTACTGTCAGAGTAAGTGCACCGGAATAGTTATTCTTCCTGAGGCTTTCAGCAAATTGACTTGTCTCCCTTGAAACAGGAGGAGGGGGGGGAGTTCGTTTGCGAACAACTCGCACATTGTGAGTGCAGCAGACCACGGTGGCTAGTGAGATGAAAGGCAGCCATACCGCCTGGGAATGCAGCCTTGGCGAGGCGTCTCCCATATGCAGAATACTTCGGAAGCCTTCAGTCGTCTGCTCACCTCACAGTCCGGCTCTAATGACAGTGGCGGAAAGACAGGCCGTAATGGCAGGAAACGCCCGAGATTGGCCAGGGCAGGCAAAGCTGCTAAACCGATACGGAGGTCGGAAGTGGACGGCTTTGCACACACACTAGCGATTGCGAAAATTAACTCTCAAACAGCGAGTGGAGTAGAACACTTTGACTAGTGTGTTGGAAGGCCACTTGTATTTTGCCCGGTCCTCTCCTTCATGTTGACACCCCCGAGGACTGCATGCATCTACCCTTTAACGTAAGTTTGCGGATGCCAGTGCATTGAGTGCACACAAGGGCACAGCCAATCACCGATCGCATTAAATTTTGACCAAAATTATTCAGTGCGCTTCTTACTGGTTACCAAAAAAATCACACTCGTTAAAAATGAATATTTAAGTAGTACGAATTTCCCCGGTTGATTTTCCCTGCCAAATATATGTTACAGAAATCATGCACAAAGTATTCGTTCTTGTACTCCTTTGGTAGAAAACCACATCCTCTTCAAATTAAATATTCAAAGGAACGGCATCTATCGGTTTTTTGATTCTCCAATAATTTTGAGCTTAGAGAATGAGAAATCAAAAATGGCTACA